GAAGAAAGAAAAAGAAGAAAGAAAGGAAGAAGATGGATCGAAAGAGGGGAAGAAGATGGATCAAGAAAGGGAGATAGGGGTATTAAGGTAAATTTGTAGTTTTTTATATTTTTTATTAAAAATATAAATATTAATCTAATTTGGTATATGTGGGATATATCATAAAAAAAAGTCCAACTCGTCACCTTTTTAAGTTGTTTCGTCATATCATAAAAAAAAATAAAAAATATCACGTGATAGAGTTAACGGCTCAAATTGTCGGAATGACAAACGTTGTGCATTTCTTAGAATTAATGGTTAAAAAATGTGCACAAAATACTTTAAGGACCAAAAATGTGTAAATTGATAAAGTTAAGGGATCAAAATGAGCATTTAACTTTTGATTAATGAACAATGAAGTGTCACCGACGTTAGCCACGTGGCTTATGACGAAAAGTATGACACGACCATTAATATTAGTGGTAAAAGTTATAGTGGTTTTTTTTTTTTTTTTTAATCTTACATGGTAAAAATTTGAATAGTGATAACAGGACTATATTATTTAATAAGCCAACACAGGCAGGTTACCCCTTCGACTTTTTGTGCGGTGGCAGATTAATTCCTGATCCGATTTTATGTGCAAACTAACCCTCAAACTCATCTAAGGTGGCAAAAAAGCCTTGACGTTATCAATCCATTAGCTTCTCAGCAAAAGTTACATGGCTGGAATTTTTATGGATCCCGGTGATTACTTGGCATTTGTCTTAAGTGATAATATATTGAGAAGTGATATAGAAATAATTTTTGATAGAATTTTTTGTATCATTTTTACATATTATTAAATAAGTAGAGTTATTTAATATTAGAAATTTTAAATGAATAAAAAATTTAATAATTTAAATGATATGTAAAATTATAAAAGATATTCTTAAATTATTTTCTTAATATATTTTTAATCAATTAATTAATATTATACATATGCTTAATTGATATTTTTACTAAAATAATGACATTTTTTTATTTTATTAATCAATAATAATGTATTTCACTTTGAATAATCCTCTTCATCAATTCTTAAATTTAATTAAACTACTTAATTAATAAAAGATTTTTTAACTTCTCCCTTAAGATATATTAATACATTTTTTTCATCAATTGTTAAAAAATAAAAATTAATTTTAATTTTTTCAACTAATTAATTAAAATTCAAGAAGTTGTGACATATATAGTTAGTAAAAAAATTCACTATCTACCTTATTAATTAAGATTCAATTCTTAAAAAAAAAAAAACAACCAATGAAGTAATTTCTCATGAAATTTGTAATTTCAATATAGATGACATACTTTTGACAAAACTAAAGAAGAATTTATATTAAGATTCGTATAAATTAACATAAAAACACCTTAATAGCTAAAAAAAAAAAGTATAACTAATTGAAAGCATTTACATGCCATGGTTGTGCTATTGTTGTTAAAAATAAAACTAATTTTTGTTTATATCACAAATTAATTGAAAAAAAGCACAACTAATTGCAATTTAGAGCACGGGGTTTCAAAAATCTATTGGTAAAATAACTAATTTTTATTAGACTCTAACTTTCAAACAAAAGAAAATCATTCATTTTTTTTGGTGCGATTCTTCTTCATTAAATTCTCCCTTTCATTGTCTTTCTATAGTATTCTAGATTTCTTTTCTTTTTTGTTTTTTCTTCTTCATCCCTCCATCTATTCCTCACCTCATCATTTGGTCTTCTTCATCTTCACCAGAGTTCAAAAAAAACTTTTGAAAAAAAAAATCTGAAAAATTCTAGATCCAAATATAAGAGTTCAAGATCAAAGTGCTGGTCGCTGGGGCGACAACCACCAAGCTAGAGTCCCCACTAGGGACCAAAGCTTGTCGAACAGTGAGCCACAGGTCCTAATCTGAACTTGGGCTCAACATTTGGCGAGCCACAATGCTGTTACAGTGACTGGTGCTAGGAAAGAGAAGGATGATGAAAAAGAGAGAGGAAGGAAGAAGAAGAACAATGAGAAGTTGGGTTCCCAAATTTGTTTCTTTGTTTAATTTTCTTTTTAAATAACCTTTTGGAGATTTCATATATAGGAAATTGAAATTAGCATATAGTGGTGATACTTTTTCTTCTTTTGATTTTGGGTTTGTTGCAAAATCTTTGGTTTGGGTTCGGAGGTTTTGTTGATTACTATTTTCCAGTTATGCATTTAGGAGGGTTATTTTTATTAATTAATTGATAAAAATGCATTATTTATCAAAATAAAAGACCTGTCAAGTTAACGGTTTGATAACCTCAACCATTATAGAAGGGCTTTTTCGCCATTTAGGACGAGCTTGAGGGTTGGTTAGCGCATAAAATCATTGAGGCTAGGGGTTAATCTCCTCTTACGTGAAAAGTCGAAGAGATAATTCACATGTTTTATCACTTAATAATTTTTTCTGTGTTAATATTATATTTATTTATTTAATAATATAATTTATATCACATTAATCCTTAATTACGTCCCATTCCTTCGTCCGCGTGGCCCTATCATTACTCGTGAGGGCTAATATCAGTAATGTGTGTAAAATTGTGTTCAGTAATAGTTCTTGCCTCTGGATTCTTGTAGAAGGCAGAGACGATAACGATATCAGGTAAGTGATAACGTATGTCATCCATAAACGATGTAAGCAGTGTCAGTAAAACTCTTGGGTACTTTTGAAGAAATGATTAATTACAATTTAATTCTTCAATGAGTCAAAATTTAAATTAAGGGCTTGTTTGGTGATTTTTTTTTGGAGTTTTTACTTTATTTTTGTATTGTTCATGAGTGATAAGTTTAAATTTTTATTAGAAAAAAAATTTTAAAGTTATTTTTAGAGATAAAAAAAGTGAATAAAAATTCAGTAAAAAATGAGTGAAAAAAAAGTTTGTAAAAAATATAAATTTGAAACTTTTAAACTTTTACTGAGATCTTTTCAATATTAAAAAAAATTTAAAAATGTAAAATTTAAGAGAAAAATTTAAATTTATGGAACATGAATAGTATCAAAAAACTGAAACTCCTAAAAATAGAACTAAACAGGCCCTAAAATAATTTTTAAATTTTAACAAAATACTAAAATTGAACATTTTTTAGATTAATAAAAATATTTTATAATTTAAATTGTATTAAATTATATAATACTCATCGTTAAATAAAAATTAAATCTCTTAATTTTAGAATCCTATTCCATCAAATAATTTATATCTTACATTAGATTATAAAATAGGTTTATTTTAAAATACTCATGTAATAACCAACTGAAAAAGGAATAGGACAACAGTGCGGCTATTGGGACTGCCACTGTTGCTCCAAACGTCTATGGAATAGAACAATCCCTACCAAGGTCAGAGCTTTTGCTTGGCAACGTTGCAAGATAGAATTGCGACAAAGACAAATTTGTTCAAACAGGATTTAATCATTGACGATCATTTATTTAAGTGTTCTTTTTGCGGGAAATTTGATGAAGATTCAAATCATCCTTTGCTGCGTTGCATGGTTCCAACAAATCGTTTGGTATTTGTGTCTTCTGTGGTGTGGAATGGCTTCGGTTCCGGCTAGTTGTTGTTTAACTTCATTCCAAGAGCACGGTTATCTAGATAGTGATGAACAAAAGAGAGCAAGAGGCATGGGATTCAATCTGGTATGCAGGAATGTGGACCCTATGGAATGAGAGAAATGATAAAATTTTTAAGGAAGTGGCAGCAAATGTTGAGAAGTTGGTTAAATTGGTGCAAATTAGATCCTATATCATTGGATGACTATGAAATCCGGGAAATACAGCTTTGCAATATCTGATTGGCTACAGGATCCAAGATTGTGGGCGAGGATGGCAAACAGGAAGTGCTAGAGACCAATGTTTATATTAGGAAGGGTTAAAAAATTCTTTTTTTTATAGTTTAAAGATAAAAAAATACAAAAAATAGTATAGAAATTAAAAATTTTCAAAATTAAAAGTTTAGATACCAAAAATGATATTTAACCTTTTTTTTTCACACTACAAATTGATTTTAAACAAAAGCAAAAATAGGGAAGGATGATTATATACTTTTAATTTTATTTTAATAGTTAATTAAATTATGACCCCTAAATTATCTAAATTTGAAATGATTTTTTTCTCATTGAATAAAAAATAACAATTAATAGTAAAATTGATATCTTAACCTTTAAATTTATGGATTTTCATATGTTAAGAGTATAATAAATATATGTTTTTATTATAAATTTGTATTTAAAAAGTAAAAATTAACTTTTAATTTATCAATTATCTAATTAAATTTATTTATAAGACACCAATATTAAAATTAATTTCAGTTTGTATATTTTTATACATATTTATAATAAAAAAAGTACTCTTAAAATTACATATGAAATTAACCTTAAATTTATTTAATGTAAAAAAAAATTTACTTTTGTTCTTAATAACTTTTCTTTGTAATTGTTAATTTATATAAAAACATATATTTATAATCACAAATCTAAAATGATACATTATATTTTTTGATACCCACTACGTACTGTTTTAATGATGAAACTAATACATTTGCCAATACGAGATTTACAACTTTGCCAATTATGTTTGCAGTTTGAGGTTTAAGGAGAAAGTTTAGCCTTTCGGTCTCAACTATATGGCAAGGATGAATGATGAATGGATTTTCTCAACAACAAGTGACATGCACACTCAAATTTTGGGGTAGACCATTCAACATTTCTTATCTTTCAAAATATCAAATCAACCAAATTAATAGGAGATAATAGGGAAATGCGACGTGATAATAAAATTAATTATATTTTTATTTATAAATTTAAATTTTAATTCTTAGTCTGTAATTCCCAAAAAAGGGTGGTGTGGGCAAAGGGGTCGGTTAGGTGGGCAGCTCCACGGAATGGATGGTTAAAGCTCAATGTTGATTGATGGAAGAGTGTTTAGAGAGAAGGGATGCTCAAGGATGGGGCAGCTGTAAGCAAGCATGGAGCTTCTTTATGTAGGAACGGCCATGACGGGTAGGGATATGGCCAGTAATCAAAATGTTAAAGATATATATATTTTTTAATTTTAATAAATTCAATTTAATTTTTTATTTTTAAAATATAGAATTTGAATAAAAATTTAATAATTTATTTGAATAAAAATTTAATAATTTATTTGAATAAAAATTAAAAAATTATGTCTATATGCTAATTTTTGTTAAAAATTAGCATATACTGGTGATGCCTTTTCTTCTTTTGATTTTGGGTTTGTTGCAAAATCTTTGATTTGGGTACGGGGGGCTGTGTTGATTACTGTTTCCCAGTTATGCATTTAGGAGGATTATTTTTATTAATTAATTTATAATAATGCATTATTTATCAAAATAAAAAAACCTGCCAAGTTAACGGTTTGATAACGTCATCCATCATAGAAGTCCTTTTTTGCCACTTAGGACGAGTTTGAGGGTTAGTTTGCGCATTAAATTGTGTTCACTAGTGCTTGCCTCTGGATTCTTGTGGAAGGCAGAGACGATTTAATTTGGTAAGTGACAACGTACGTCATCCATAAACGATGTTAGCAGTGCCAGTAAAACTCAGTGGTTACTTTTGAAGAAATGATTAATTACAATTTAATCCTTCAATTAGCCAAATTTTAAATTTAAATAATCCTTAAATGTAAACAAAATATTAAAAATGAACATCTTCTAAATTAATAAAAATATTGTACTGTTTAACTTCGATTTTTTTTTTTGAACAGCAAAGTATATATATATTAAAAAAACGGAGTACAAGAGGTATCCCAAACCCTTAACAAAACTGATTGAGAAGCATACTTTTAAAGTGTCGACACCCTCTCAAAGTGTCGACACAAAACCCGTGACGAGAATTAAACCCCCAGTGCATTAACACAAAACCCAGCCACTACATCTTAATTCCATCTTTCAGACTATTCCTCCCTAGCTTTTACCTCCACAATACTTAGTGAGGCGTGCAATAGGATTGCTAATCCAATCCGAAAGAGTAAAGTAACACCAGGCTTTTTTTGCTTTAAACCATAAGAACGATCGAATTTGAACCAAATCAAAAAGCTTACCCGGGTCCATCTCTTGGTTCTGGAAGATCCTTTGATTCCGCATCAGCCATATGGACCATACTATTACACTCCAGGTACAATCCCATCCTTTTCTGATCCTCGTATTTCTGGTCCACGTCCCAGGATGTTCAAATGTCTTCCAGCAGTCCTCTTGTGTCTCTATATTGATCCCCCACCATCTATCACACTCCTTCCATATCCATCTTACGTTTTTGCATTTCAAAAACAAGTGGATTGCGTCTTCTTCCTCTTCTTGACACAAGCTGCACTTGCCATCGCCCATGATTACACCGAATCCTCTTTTCAGCAAATTTGATTTGGTTGGCAATCTGTTGAGCAACAGTTGCCAGTTGAAAGCAGAGATCTTGGTTGGCAGGTTGGGATTCCATACTCTCTTGAAGACCCTTTCTTGAGTCGGACACCTCGGTACCTTTGTCAAGAGTGAGTACGCTGTTTTGGTTGAGTAACGGGAATCCTTGCTGTGAATCCACTCCCATTCATCAGGTCGGCCAGGAGCAATCTTCACACCCTCAATCTCCGTGCTGAGTTCCTTTGCTGCCTCTTCTTCCCTTTCTAGCAGCTTCCTTCTCCATGTAATATTCCATTTCCATGTTCCATTGCACATAGATCCCATTTGGCAGCACTCTTTCTCCTTTCCTTCAGCTAAGAGATACAATCTCGGGAATTTGTTTGCTAGACAAAAACCCCTACTCCACTCGTCCCACCAAAAGCTTACACCCTTCCCTTCTCCTAGCTTCAGGCTAAAGCCCTCTGTTAACCACCCTGTAATTTCCCCTTCTACATTATCAATCCTTCTGACATCTCTCCACCAACAAGAACAAGCCCCTGCACCATTCCTAACCCAATCCATCCAGTGCCTCCTTCCCTCACCATATTTGCTTGCAATCACTTTCCTCCATAATCCATCCTCCTTTACTGCTAGCCTCCCCCACCATTTACCCATCAGTGACAAGTTAAAATGCTCTAGGTCTCTCACTCCCAGCCCTCCGCACTCTTTCGGCATGCATACCTTTTTCCAATTGACCCAATTAATTCTCTTCCTTTCTCCTTCCCCTCCCCATAGGAAACTCTTGCGGATTTTATCAATAGCTTTGAGAGTGCCTTTTGGAAGAAGGTATACTGACATTAAGAACACAGGCAAACTGGACAGCACGGAGTTGATGAGCGTAATTTGACCCCCAAGAGAAAGTTGCCGACCCTTCCAGCTTGACAACTTCTTTTTAAAAGACTCCAGCAAGGGCTGCCACATTGTGAGCCTTCTATGGCTTCCCCCGATGGGAATTCCCAGGTATTTAAATGGAAATTCCCCTTTTTTGCAGCATAATCTATAGGCCATTTTGCATCCCCAGCTGTCTTCGACATTGATGCCCATAAGTTGGCTCTTTTGTAGATTAATTTTCAACCCGGAGAGCAGCTCAAAAGACCTCATTATACTTTTAATCACCATGATGTTGTTTTCTGTTGCTTCCCCAAAAAAGATGGTATCATCTGCGAATTGAAGGTGAGTGATCATAACCGCATCCTTGCCCACTATCACGCCCTTATATAACTCTTTTTCAACTGCAGAAGACATTAAACCATGTAATCCTTCCGCTACTATCAGGAATAGGAAGGGAGATAAAGGGTCTCCTTGGCGAAGTCCCTTGCTGACTGAGAATTGTCTAGACGGGCTTCCGTTGACCAGTACTGAGACCGTGTTGGATTGTAGACACTCACGTATCCACATTCTCCAAGTATTGTAGAAGCCCATCCTCATCAGCATATAGTCTAGGAAATCCCAGCACACCTTGTCGTATGCTTTTTCGAAATCGACCTTGAAAAGGAAGCTTCTCTTCTTATTCCTCTTCGCCTCATCAATCACTTCATTAGCAATAACCACACCATCAACCAGCTGTCTACCTTCGATAAATGCCATTTGTTGCTCCCCGATAACTTTGTCCAGCACTTTCCGGAGGCGATTTGCTAATAGCTTCTCAATTATCTTGTACATAATACCGATAAGTGAAATGGGCCTGTACTCTTCAATCCTTTGGGGGTTTTCTCCCTTCGGTATTAGAGTTATGAAAGAAGCATTAGAACCTCTTACAAGCCTTCCATGTTCTTGGAACTCTCTAATAAAGCTTGCTATCTCCGATTTTATATCTTCCCACATGCACTTCACAAATTTGAAATTAAATCCATCTGGGCCTGGAGACTTTGATGATTCACAATCCCAAACAGCATTTTTGATTTCTTCTTCCGAGAATGCTGCCATGAGGGATTCGTTGTCTGCCTCATCAATCTGTCTGAAGTTTATACCATCTAACTTGGGTCTCTGCCACCTATCTTCTGTATAAAGCTGCTCAAAATAACCCGCCATTTTTTCTTTAATCTCCCCCACGTCTTTATGCTGATCACCGTTAATCTGGATGCTGTTGATCTCGTTTTTTCTCCATCTTCCCTTCACACACCTATGGAAGAATTTGGTGTTTGCATCACCTTCTTTTAACCACATCAATCTTGATTTTTGCTGCCACATGTTCTCTTTTAATTTGAGGTTCTTCCATAGATCAAGAAAACTACTTCTCCTCTTTTCAATTTCGGACAGTGACAATTGAACATTCTTTCCTCTTTCATCCAGTTGGGCTATCACTCTCTCAGCTTCCATTATTTTCCTATTCACCTCTGTCACTGAGTTTCTGCTCCATTCTTTCAAGGCTTTCTTCACACTTTTTAGCTTCTCCTTGAGCTTGAAGCCGTACCATCCCTCCACTGTCGTAGAGTTCCATGTATTCCTAATTATCTCCTTGCACCCAGGTTCTTGCAGCCAAGCGTCAAAAATCTTGAAAGGCTTTGGTCCCCAGTCCACCCGCTCGTGCTTCAATAAAATTGGACAGTGGTCTGAAACTGTTCTTTCCAAACCCCACTGTTTTACATCGCACCATCTCATAAGCCATTCCTCTGAAACCAAGAATCTGTCAATCCTGCTCATATATTTGCCATTAGCATTATACCAGGTATACTTCCTCCCTACCATAGGTAAATCCACCAACCCAGATTCAGTGATGAAACTGTCAAAATCTATCATTTCTCTGGACATCCCCTTGCACCCTGCCCGTTCCCCTGCGCTCCGGACAGCGTTAAAGTCCCCCCCTAAACACCAGTTGCCTTTCCTATTTAAGATCAGATTGTGCAATTCCTCCCACAGAGCTCTCTTTCCAGACAAATCACATGGAGAGTAAATGTTTAGGATATAAACTGGTACTCCCTTTTCCCCCCACAATCCAAAAACCCCAATGAAATGGTCCCCTTCTAACACCTCTTCCTTTTTAAAAATTTTTTTATCCCATATACACAGCAATCCGCCCGACAGTCCCCTAGAAGGCTTGGCTATCCAGTCAAAATCCTCCGTCCCCCACACCCTCCTACACAGCTTCCTATCAACAACTTCCAATTTGGTTTCTTGAACAACTAAGAATTCCACTTTCTCCCTCAAAATAATATTCCTAATATTTCTTCTTTTCCCAACCCCTCCTAATCCTCTAATGTTAAAGGATAGTATTATCATTAAGAGCAGTACAAACCTTCTTCGCACTCCCTGCTGCCTTCTTCACCGTGACAGCTTTGGCTAGGCTATCTCTTTTCTCCATTTCATCAATTCTGCAGATCACCTCCTCATCACAATCTACCGTCGCTCCTAATTGCTTGGCAAGCTCCCAAATCTCCTTAGCAAGCTTCCGTTGCATCTTCCTCTTTATGGATCTGTTGCAATTCTGGATCCCACTGTCCCCTACAGATTCGCCCGCTGCTGCACCGTTTGGACTAGCTATAAATTCTGGCAACATCTGCCCCCCCGATGGCTGCTTGCTCCAGCGACCATGCCCCTTTTTCCTTCTTTGCTTCCTCTGCATCGAGGCGTCCTACAGGTAAACAGATCTGCATGTTCTCAGCCTCATCTTCCTTCTCTTTTGTGATCCGGCTGCACGCTTCTGCCCACCATCATCGCCACTCCCCTCATCGCTTCCCAAACTTCTCTCAAAAGTACCCCTTCTTTCACCGGCTTTTTGACCAGAACACTCTACGTCATTCCCACTAAAAATATTCCTTCCAATAGAAAGTGGGCTTTCTCCCTTCCTTGTATCTTGGCCCATGGCTATATAACCGGAATCCTCACCGTTTGGGCCACGATCTGACCCAACTCTTTTTTTAACAACCTCTCCATATGACATCCTGTTATTCTGCCCCACCAAGCCCAAAAGACCACCTCCCTCATTTTTGGATCCTGCATCAGCAACATCGTTCCCCCCCTTTTGAGCCATATCCGTTGTCCATTCTCTGTTTTCGCCTTCCTTTGAAAATTCAAAATTTTCAAAATTTTCTATGCTGTCAGGCACTACATCCATTGTCCTGTCACCGTCTTGAGGGTCTTGGAGCTGGATGTTACCGTTGGTTTCCCCTGCGCATCTCTCCACATCATCTTCTTCACCGTTTGCACCACCGGGCTCATCCACGGGTTGCCTTACTCCGCCAACATCCTGGATTTCCTGATCACCCTCGAAACTTTCTATCGGCCATGATTCGTTTTCTTCTGAATCGCTCTGAAAGGAAGGGATAAAATGATGTTTTAATGAGAAGAAACTGTTGGTGAATTCCTCCTTCGAGAACCTTAAACTGTAGATCGAGCCATTGATCTTGATCTGGCGCCTAACGGATATCGTGTCCATTATCGGGGTGGATATCAACATTCTTGCAATGTTAAACCTCCCTTTTTTGCTTGTATTATCATCCAAGCAGATGAATTTCCCCCATGAACTACCCATTTTTTCAAAGAAATCTGATCCCCAAACGTTCAATGGAGCTCCTTGGCACCAGATCCACACAAACCTCTCCTGAGTTATCTTATTTGGAGACCACGGTTGTACCTCTTCGAACCATTGTCCTAGCCATTCCGAAGCCATCTCCACTAGATCCTTCAACTCCTCTTTGTCTTCACAATCCAGCAGCACTAGCTTACCCCCCATGGCACGGATTCGACAATGAAAGTATCCCTCCATGTAGAATTTCTCCTGTAGGTTCCTGACCATCTCAACAGAATGGACCGTTCCCACATAAGTTCCCTCAAGCCATGCACAATCTTCAGATGTTACCTTATACTCCATGCCTTGCCAGTTCTCCCCTGGTCCTTTCTCTTGCCAAACCATTCTACTATCTATGCTTCGTGAACCTTTCACCACATTAGCAAAGCTTCTTCCTTGTATGGTTGGCCCAGGATTACGAGGAAATCTTAGGTCCTCTCCTTGGGGATTTCTGCACTCCATCTCCTTTTTTTGCTTGGCATCAAAACGTGGGATGTTCACCCACAATTTATGGTCACCAACCTAGATCTGGTCAAGCTTCCTTTCCAGTTCCTTTTTGTCTTTGACATCCAGAAAACGCACAAAGCCGAATCTGTTACTGTTCCTGTTCCTCCTTCTCGGACTATATACAGCATAAACCCTTCCAAATTGTAAAAAAGTCTTCCACATTTCTGCGTAGCTCCATTCTTCTGGGAAATTGGTGAAGAAAAATGGTGTAGCTTGGTTATACAAGCCTTTGTTATAGGCTCCACCAAACTGAGACTTTTTGTCCTGCACATGATCGCTCGTCGTTCGCCTCGTACCAGCTGGTGAGATCCTCTGACGACGGCTTCTTCCTCGCTGTTTCTCTTTCTCAATACCCTATATTGATCGACCATCCCGTGAACGATGTCCACTTGCTCGCCTTCTCTCTCTTCCTCTCTCTCTCATCTCGCCCTAAAAGAATTTACCAACATACGCGCGTGTTTATTTTGAAGAGACGATGGAATTACAGGATTGAACAGGGATTTGGGTTTGGATCACAGACCACTGTTTAACTTCGATTAAAATATACAACACCAACCTTTAAATAAAAATTAAACCCTTAATTTTAAAATTCTTTTCCCATCTAATAATTTCTACCTTACCTTGAATTATAATACAGGTTTATATTAGAATACTCATGTAATAACCAATTGAAAATGGAATAGGACAACAGTGCGGCTATTTGGACTGCCACTGGTGCTACAAACGGCTATGGAATAGGACAATCCCTAACAAGGTCAGAGCTTTTGCTTGGCAACCGTTCCAAGATAGAATTGCTACAAAGACAAATTTGTTCAAACAGGATTAATCATTGACGATCATTTATTTAAGTGTTCTTTTTGCGGGACATTTGATGAAGATTCGAATCATCCTTTCTTACATTGCATGGTTGCATCAAATCGTTTGGTACATGTGTCCTTCTGTGGTGTTGAATCGCTTCGGTTCTGGCTAGTTGTTTAAATTCATTCCAAGAGCACAGTCATCTAGCTAGTGATGAACAAAAGGAGCAAAAGGCATGGGATTCAGTCTAGTCTGCAGGAATGTGGACCCTATGGAATGCTAGAAATGATAAAATTTTTGAGGAAGTGGCAACAAATGTTGAGAAGTTGGTTAAATTGGTGCAAATTGGATCTTATATCATTGGATGACTATGAAATCCAGGAAATACAGCTTTCCACTATCTGGTTGGCTACAGGATCCTAGACTGTGTGCAATGATGGCAAGCAGGAAACGCTAGAGACAAATGTTTCTAACAGTAAGGATTAAAAAGGTATTTTATTTATAGTTTAAAAATAAGAAAGTTACAAAAAATAATTTTGAAACTAAAAATATTTAAAATTAAATGTCTAGATACCAAAAATGATATTTAATCTTTTTTTTTTTACTACAAATTGATTTTGAACAAAAGCAAAAATAGGGAAGGATTATTTTATACTTTTAATTTTATTTTAACAGTTAATTAAATTATGACCTCTAAATTATCTAAATTTGAAATGATTTTTTTCTCATTGAATAAAAAATAACAATTAATTGTAAAAATGATATTTAACCTTTTTTTATACTAGAAATTGATTTTAAATATAAACAAAAATAGGGAAGGATGATTATATACTTTTAATTTTATTTTAATAGTTAATTAAATTATAACGCCTAAGTTATCTAAATTTGAAATGATTTTTTCTCATTGAATAAAAAAACACTGTTTAATTTTTAAATTGATATCTTAACTTTTAAATTTATAGATTTTCATATGTTAAGAGTATAATCAATATACATTTTATTATAAATTTGTATTTAAAAGTAAAAATTGACCATTAATTTATCAATTATTTAATTAAATTCATTTATAAGATACTAATATTAAAATTAAAATTCATATTTATTTTTTAATACATTTATAATAAAAACAAACTCTTAAAATTACATGTTAAAAGAATCTTAAATTTATTTAAGTTAAAATAAACATTTATTTTTATTTTTAATATTTTTTTTTTAGTTATTAATTTATTTAAAAATATATATTTATAACCATAAATATAAAATGATGCATGATATTTTTCCATTTCCATTACATAACGTTTTAATAATAAAACTAATACACGTGCAAATACGAGATTTACAACTTTGCCAATTATGCTTGCAGGGTAAGGTTTAAGGAGAAAGTTTAGCCTTAGGTCTCAACTTTATGGCAAGGATGAATGATGAATGGATTTTCTCAACAACCAGTGATATATACACTTAAATTTTGGGTAGACCATTCAACGTTTCTTATCCATTCAATATATCAAATCAACCAAATTAATTGGAGATAAGAGGAAATGTTTCTTTATCTTTTAATATGTCAAATCAATCAATTAATAAAAAATAAAAAAATATTTTTTTATTTTTTTAATATATCAAATCAAATAAATTAATAAAAGATGAAAGAAAGATTAATTATGTAATTTA